CGTCCGTTTTCTCTAATCGATATCGACTTGTAATAAATAGTGATAATAATCATCAAACATATCGATAGCTATAAATTGGATATCAACATTGCCCCCAGTCATTTGCTGTCTCTGTTAACCTGTCCAATCAAACAAGAATCCTATATTGGAGATCAGTGGATGGTTTCAGGGCTGAAATGGACTATATCTAGGTTAATTGGATTATTAAAAGTAAAAGTAAACGGAATAACCTATCGATATGACCAGACCAGATGACCAGATATATAGACCACCAACTTCAAGCTCTCATCTCGTGATGATTCGATATTCATAATTGATAAAGTTGCCAAATGGTTGTTATCAGCTACCATCCAAAACGGACTATATTCGAAGATGCATATGGCAATTGACTTAGGTACATTCTACTGTAGCATAATGCTTGTAGCATAGGCTAATGCTTTTAGAATGAAATAGCACATTAGTTTTTTCTATGAACTTATGGGTTCATTCCCAGTAATACTGAAATTGAGAAATATTACACTAACATTGCAAAATTCGACCAGTTATCTTTTGCAATACATTATTTCCCAGCCAAGTTAAAGGGTTAGTTTCCATTACTCAAGTCATCCATATATAGCTTATATTTGGATAAATACCAGCGATTCTAATGTAATACTGCAATGTAATCAGACTGTGAAATTGAATCTGAACACCAACATTGATATATGATATCCTGATATGATACATTCAAATATGTGCTTTTATTAGAATACAATTGTCTAAATGTTGGGGTTCTGAAATTGAGCTCGTTGAGCAGGTAAAGCAAATAATTCGACGGCGAAATCCCTTTAAAAGCCACTTTATTCTCATCAAGATCAATTTCATCATTTGATTTGTTCTTACTGTAACAGAGATATGTTTTTATTAGGTATTATTGTTTTAAATTTCTTTGAGTGTGGCAAAAGACTACCATAGTATTGACATTGCGTATTTTGCAACTTTTTACCTCAACTTCACAAACATGAACTTCGTCGTATACCTTGACTGCATTTGTCACTATTCTTGTTTGTAAATGCAGCGATTTAATTAGAATTAGATTAATTCAATACAGCCAATCAGAGGCATGCTCTTTAGCTATTGCTTTAGTGTGGTCTGTCTATTCTGAGATCTTTTTATTAAGTTTTACATAAATAATTCTATTTGCTATTCCCGGTTCGAGTGTTTGTCTACAGCCTATTTACTTTATTGGAACAAATTCGTTTAAGGCTGACAATTTAAATTTGATTTAAGTTAATCTAATTGAGTTTTTCTCTCACTGTTAAAACGATCTACCTTATATCTTGATTAAATCTGTAGGGGAGAATCACGTCAGTATGACAGTAATAGAATCTCAGAAACAAGATCTATTTTAGGGAAGCTCTACAATCGATCTCCAAGAAGACATTGGAAAGATTACGAGACAATTGTGGGTTTTCAGATTGGACAAAGGCTACACTGAAGTATTTTTAATCGGCTTGAAATAGTCTTATTTAGACTTAGTTCAGGGGATGTTTTCGAGTTATTTATCTCAGAATATCCCTCAGATTATAGCTTAAAACTTGGTGGAGGGGATTAGATTCTTTTTAATAAACAACAAATCTATACATTTCTTTCAGAATCAATACACTTATTCACCAAATAAAGGTCATGTATAATTAATCATCAACTTTTTCTGTTATGGAAGCTAAAAGGTTCAACAGATTATGAATGATATACGCTTATCTAGATTAATTACAGTTAATTTGATCGACACTTCTTCTCGAGTGGTTCACACTGCCACAGGAATTGATAACTCGCTTTCTCTTTCTAAGAGTTCACATAGATAATATTGTATATTTGGTCATACACAGGTGACGCTGCTGGTGGACAAAACTGTCCTGGTAGTCATTCTTTATTAGTCCATTGGGTCCATGTGCAAATCCTGCATTGAATTTGAGCTTCACTTCAATATGTGACGGGTATCGCAAGCAGGACAAATCGATCGTATCCCGAATACCGGTTTTTACATGGAAGTATGACGAATGCGGATGTGGTTTGGACACGATGAGGACAATTCATGCTCACCCTTCTGGAAGACATGGTGTCAATTTCGACTAGGTATGTCCACATACCTAAGATTGTTTATCGGGTTTTGGCACATTTGTTACATGTATGATAAAATTGAAAAAGAAAACGTATGATTTTGATACATCTCGTTTATAATACGCATTTACATTAGAGGTGTTTATTATCCTCGGACGAACTCATCAAAGGTGACGACTCTATGTTCGCGAGTTAATGCAATTTTTTTTACTATATTCAATATCCGAATTGACCCTATGATATAATTATAATATATAGGTTGCAGTATTAAAACTCTTCCAACAATATAATTATCATGTAGTTTTCAATCATCTACTCAGTTGTACATCGCAGTTGTACGACCCTCAATCTTTCTAAATGATAATCAGCACGCCATAACATAGTCCGAGAAAGCCTCTGAGCCGATATTTGGAAAAAAGACAATTTCAAGGATTGTCGTATTATTGGACCTGTAACGGATAGGTGTAAAAAGGTTAATTATTGACAGATTCGCTTAAATAAATATGTTACGAGAAATATTCAGAGAATGTTGACAAATTATACTGTCGTTTCTTCCACATATCCGTGATACACTTTAGCAGGTACACCTCGTATATGGGACCGATGAGAAATATTCACGATGACACGTAATTTTCAAACAGAAAACTGTAGGTATCTCGGAAAGTGGAGTCGGGTCTGATATATTTATTTGGGGACGTGGTTTTAATGACGATGAGTTAAGCAATTCTTGGATATTTGAAAGTCGACTACACTGGTTAAGTTCCATCTGTTTGGAAGACTCTTTCTCTACAAGAGTCTTTAATTCATGTTTTGTCGTTGAAGATATTTGATTTTTTTTTTAAAGATTTAATCAATTTGTTTTTGAAGTGAATGTGTAAAAGCTTTTGTTAAGCTTCTTTAATAACGAGATTTATGATTAAACTTTCTTCAGATTACATAAATGATTCTTTTGTTTTCATTGTCAATTATGTGTTTTTGGAGTCATAAAAATTCTTAGTGAGTTCGTTGTGACACTGTACATACATAACCTAGTTATAATTATGTAGAAATAAAGAGTAAAAAAAAGAAGAAAATTACAAATTTTTCTTTGAGAAAAAAATCTTCGAAAGATGTTAAAGACATTTTCAGGAATTATCTTTTAATATATTCCATTCAAAAATTTTTCCTGTGCTGTATAAAGAGTTAACGCAAAGGATATCATGGGTCAAAAGAAGTCGTTTTCGGATTTGAACAAAACATTCCAATTGGATCCCAAGCGTCTT